GAGGGGCAACCTCATTGCTCTCTACAGCTTCCTGAGGAAGGGAAGTGGCAAGGGAGGTGCTGATGTCTTCTGCCTGGGATCCAGTGACAGGATGTGTTGCAATGGCTCTGAGCTGTGACAGGGGAGGTTTAAACTGCACATTAGGAAGCATTTCTTTAGCAGGAGTGTGGTCAAACACTGGAACAGGCTTCCTAGAGAGATGGTCGATAACCCATGCCTGTCGGTTGGCTTCAACAAGGCCAAGTACTGGGTCCTGCACTTGTCATCACAACCCCATGCAGCACTGCAGGTTTGGGGAAGAGTGGCTGGAAAGCTGCCCAAGTCGAAAAGGACCTGGTGGTGTTGGTTGACAGCCGGCTGAATATGAGCCAGTGGTGTGCCCAGGTGGCCAAGAAGGCCAATAGCATCCTGGCTTGTATCAGAACTAGTGTGGCCAGCAGGACTAGGGAAGTGATTGTGCCCCTGTACTCAGCACTGGTGAGACCACATCTCGAATACTGTATTCAGTTTGGGGACCCTCACTACAAGAAAGACATTAAGATGCTAGAGTATGTCCAAAGAACAGCAACGAAGTTGGTGAAGGGTCTAGAGAACAAGTCTTATGAGGAGCAGCTGAGGGAACTGGGGTTGCTTAGTCTGGAGAAAAGGAGGCTGCAGGGAGACCTTATTGCTGCAACTACCTGAAAGGAGGTTGTAGAGAGGTGGGCATTGGTCTCTTCTCCCAAGTAACAAGTGACAGGACAAGAGGAAATACTCTCAAGTTGTACCAGGAAAAATTAGGAAAAATTTCTACACCAAAAGGGTTATTAAAATTGGAACAGGCTGCCCAGGAAAGTGGTGGAGTCACCATCCCTGGAGGTATTTCAAGGACATATAGATGTGGTGCTTTGGGTTTAGTAGTGGACTTGGCAGTGTTAGTTTGATGGTTGGACTCGATGATCTTAAAAGGTCCCTTCCAAGCCTCTATGATTCTATGAAAGTCAACACGTGACACATCAAGTCTAGAATTAAAATGGGTTACTATCCAGAAAAAAAATCAAGCCTTTTATGACAGATTGTGTGTTCTGAAATTAATATAACTGCACTGAACTGGATGACAAAAGAAATCGGCTAAGCTCCACAGTGAATAGTGATTAATAATGAAACACCACAATGTGCAACCCGAAAAAGTTCCATTTGACAATGCTATTAGCAGTAGAAAAAATGAGGTGTGTAGATGCAATTCATCACCAACACTAACTTAAGAGTTGCTAGCACAGCACTGTAAAATGCACCTCTTTAAATGACATTACAGTGCTACTACCATAAATTATTGTCACGGGGTTCAGGATAAAGCAAAATGCACAACCAGACACAGCATTTATCCATCTGTAAATACATAAGTATCTAGGGAAACAAAGATAAATCTTACATGAGGGGCAACAATAAAACAAAAGTATTTTTTGATTTTAGGGTCACCTCAACATTTTTGTTACATCTCTGAACACAAGAGAGATCCAATCTGATTTAGAGCACAAATCCAGTGACAGATTGCTTTTTCTGTATGAGGAAACAATGTCTGCAATCAACACACTTTTCTGCATATGCAGTTGTGACCCCGGCCCTTTCAGAAAGACAGAATAGCACTTTACTCCATCAAATATGCATTTTTAAAGCATTTTTCTACCTGCTCTGAATTTGGACTTCAGAAAGTTGGCAGCTCTCCAGAATTAAGACAATAAAAGCCATGCATGGTAAATCATTAAAAATAATGTAAAATAACAGTTCCCTAAAAAAAAAAAAAAGTTAACAGCTTCCAGCAAAAATATATAGCCAAAGTTCTCTAAATGCCTGTCATAATCCACCTGCTCTGAGAATGCTGACAAGTGCTCCTCAAAAACCACTCTTCCTTGCCCTCCCACTCAATTCAGCTTGAGCCTAGGTTACTGGAGAGCTATATTAATATGCACAGGAAACATACAACTTCATGTCAAACAAGAGATAATAAATCCTCTGTGAATAATCAGTTCCAGTCCACAGTGAGACCAGCTTCCAGACTACTGCTGTCTTTCCTACAGCTGGTTATAACTTCGTAACAAAAAAAGCAGATAATCCCATATGTGAATCTAAAAATCACATAACTTTTTTCACACATCCTTAAAAAAATCCAGCGTATTTGTTTTAGTATTTATCAACTATCAGAATACTAGTTATTAAAAAACAAAACAGTGGTACTTACACAACTTACGGAAACAATTAGGAACCCCAAAATTCAGTGATATGAGGCAGTTTTGTACCAGCTTACTAGGGCAAAACGAACATTTCCCACTTTCTGTAGTAACAAAGGTAATCTCTTCTCTATTTTCCAAAGTTAATTTGCTTACAGAAAGTGGAGAGTCCCAGCATTAAAACTACAGAAGCTTTCCCAGATGAAATCAGAAAACGTATGTGGAGGGTTGACTTTGGCTGGCCGCCAGGTGCCCACCAAGCTGCTCTCCTATTCCCCCTCCTCAGGAGGATGGGGAGAAATGAGATTAAAAACTTATGGGTCAAGATAAAGGCAGTTTAATAAAGAAAAGCAAAGGCCATATGTGAAAGCCAAGGAAAACAAAAAGACTTGTTCTCTACTTCCCATCAGCAGGTATGTCCAGCCACTTCCTGGGAAACAGGGCTTCAGTACGTGTAGCAGTTGCTTTGGAAGACAAACACCTTAATAATGAATACCCAGCTCCTTTCTCTAAGCTTGAATTGCTGAGCACAATGTCATAAGGTATGAAATATCCCTTTGGTCCATTTGGGTCAGCTGTCCTGGCTATGTCGCCTCCCAGAGTCTTTCCCAGCCCGTTTACTGGCTGTTGAAGGGGTGGGAGTGGGCTGGGTAGACAGCACTGCTCAGCAGTAGCCAAAACACAGGTGTGTCATCAACTGTTCTAGCTGCAAATACAAAGCACAGCACTATGATGGCTGCTATGGGGAAAGCTAACTCCATCTCAGACAGACCAAGTACAATATAACCAGATAAAAACCCCAAAACTGCAAGACATTATTTTCTCCCATTTCTTTTCAGGAACTGTTCATGATATTACATCATCACAAGACACAGTATATAAAAGTAATTCTGTTGTCCAGAATTAACATTGGTCTAAACCAAATTTATTTATTACCCTGTAATACTGGTTTCAAAATGTCCCAGGAGAGATGGCAACAGCAAACTATTTGAGAACATACTGGTGCTTTTTGATTCTTCATTGAGGATTTCCATATGGAACACTTTTGCACAGTTGACAGCGTAATATACGAACACTGTATAGGAGGTTACTGTTGGTGAGTTACTGTATGTATTCTTTTATTTTTTCAGAAATCAAGTTTAAATGGCACTTGATAGAATGCAACTAAAAAAATTGTTATGTAACAAGCCACCAAATAAAGACATGACTTTCTGTACGCTAGAAACCAAGTGTCAGATCTCAAAATAACAGAGCCTTGACCTATTAGATATTCAAAACTAAGTCAAACAATGGGACATCTCTCTTCATTAAAGTTAAGTGGAAGCAGAAGGAAAAACAAGAAAAAGTATTGGCTAAGTACAAGTCTGCTGCTTATTCTCAGTTCTCTATTACTTTAAATTACTTTAAACCATTAAACCATTCTGAATGATCAAATTTCACCTTCCTTGTATGTTACCAGCAATTTTTCTCTTTGTAGATGGGGAGGCAAAAAAAAAAAAAAAAAGAAAAGTAATAACCTTTCTTTACTGTACTGGTGAGAAGCTATTTTTTTTATTCCAGCCACATCCTACTATATTCTTTTTCACATGGAGCCTGGATTAAGTTGCTTTAACTTAGTCTCTTCTACCAGGAGACATTAAAGAAGTTTACTTACTACTAGAGAGAAAGTTTCCTCAAGAGTTCCATCTCACTATGCTTCACTATCTGCCTTTTCAATTAAAACTATTCTATAATAGTGTGAACTTTGTAGAAAGAACTGATAGAGTTAGAAAAACAAAGGCACACAGGGTTTCAGGAATGCAAGCACATCCAGCACTCCAAAATCCATTTCACTTTTCTTCACTATTCCATTTTGCTGAAGTAATGACATGATTCCTGTCTTCCAAGTAGTGCCTTTTATATCCTTAAAGCATTATAGCTACAACCTGCTACAATGATACCTCTTAACTGCACAAAAAACAACTTGAAAAATGTTCATGACATCTACCACGCTGGCACCTTCTCCAGAAAAGACACAATAGAGGCTGTTAATGTCAGCACTGACTCATGGTTTCTCAAGAGCTGGATGAAGTCACTAAGATGTCCCTTTACAAAGGCTGCTATTGCATGATAAGCAGCTTTATATGAGTAGCTCTGGATGCATCTTTAAATCATTTTTTTTCCATGGCAAACACTTTAACAGTAAAAGCATTCAGGAACCTTACTTTGATAACAGGAATAAAGCAGGAAAAACCAAGTGAGAGGGAAGTGGGCCACAGTTTTAAAGTAAAAGACTCATTAAAGGACTATTAGCAATCACCCAGGTACTGTATTTGAACAAGACCCAGTATTTGTTGCTTCTCGCACACAGCCTTCATGTTGCTGTTTCCCCTTTTGAGCATATGGTGGCAATCTTATCCCTGAATGATAAAACTCCTTAAAACTTTCAACTGAAAAAAAATTACAGAATCAGAGAATCATTTAGGTTGGAAGGGGTGTCCTCAGATCACCTAGTCCAACCCATGTGCTGAAGCAGAGTCAGCTAGTGAATGCTGCCCAGGATCACACGCAGTCATGTTTTGATATCTCCAAGGATATCACACATACCACAGCCTCTCTGGGCAAACTGCTAGTGCTTGAGTTAAAAAAACCACACCAAAACCAAAAACCCACACACCGTAAAAAGAAACCACACACACACACACAAAAGAGACAGACTGAAAGCCAGTATCAACACTTAATCTGTGTTTTTTTTTCCTGGAAATCAGACAAAAAGTTATTATGGTATCTACATAAAACTGATGTGAAACTAACCTGATTCCATACAGGTTCCAAACAGTGTCATCTCCATCTTTTTCCAGTTGAATAGCTTGTATTTGTAGTAATTTCCAAATAGTTTTTACTAATCCATGCACATTCCTGGTGAGACAAGGAAATACATTACTGCCACATACGTAGTTACATGAGTTGATTCTTCCATAACGGGAGGAACCCAGGACAAAATTGACACTCAAGAAGCCTTCCATGCTTGCCTACACATTTTTGGGCAAGTTGCACATCCACGTGTCTTTGTTTTTCTTTTCACATAATGAGAAGTAGAATAATTAATGTATCAATTAAAACTTTTGATGGTTTGCTTCTGCCATATCTTACAAGTATATTTGCTGCACCCAGCTTACTTGAAACCAGTGCTTTTAGTATATTAAAAAACAAAAATAACCTCTTCTCTGAATGCAAGTACATAGGTGAACATCCAACACGGTACACAATTTCAACCATGCCACTGAAGAAAGCAAGAGAAATCACATTGTCAGAAAATGTACTTGATACATCTGGTTGGTGACGACGTTTGATCTCAGGAGCCAAGGACTACATAAAATAGATACAAACAGCTATTTTATCTCCCTCCTCCTATGTCATTTAATTTACCATTCAGAAAAATTCAAGAAAAAACAGTATTACTGGAATTTTGATAGGATTTCCCATATTCTCCTGGAAAGATGCTAATGAAATTAACAAAGTCCACCACGAGGCCGGAGTGTGTGTGTGTGGGGGGAAGCATACTCTCTCTTCTGTGCCTTCCATATTTTTGCCAACAATGCTGGAAAACACTGACCCAAATCAAAACTGACAGAACATGCTTCCATTTCTTTTCTTTCTTTCAAAAAAGGACCAATTATAGGATGTGCCTGTAATCTTTAAAATGACTGTCATGCTATCTGGCTCTCAAAACATTGAAATCTGTCCATACAAGAAAACATGAAGTTCAACAGAATTCTGCTGCAAAGCAGCCAACAGGAAGATGTGCAGCAGGCCTCCAAATCCCAATACAGCCAACGTACCATACAGAGGAGAAAGGAGAATCTTTTGGAGGGGTATAGGGAAGAAAAAGAGAACAACAACCTTTTAGATACTTCATGGCTAGAAAGAGTCAGTTAAATGGGAATTTGCTAGAATATTCCCCAGCTTCAACTGGATAACCATGCAACGAGGGGAAAAACAAACTATGAAACACTCAATAAGAAAACAGGCTTCCCTGTTCTGAAATTCCTGTATTGCTGGTCCTAATTTCCAGGCAGGAGGTAGGGGGAAAACGGCTGCTTTAGGCTTTGCTCTCAGCTTCTGAACACAAGCAGCACAATGGCATGACATAGTGCAAGGATTTCCCCACCTCCTACAGGCATGCATGCTCAAGTGATAAAAACATTCTGAAAATACACATACACAGAGAAATCCTTCTAAGAATTTCTTAAAGATTACACAATTCCATTTTTTTTTCAGTTTTAATAGATCGACCTGATTATTTATGCTCATTCATTACTGAATACAGGCCACAAAGTTTTCCTGTCATCTGCTACACAGAAAGCTGAAGAGCAATATTAAAAATATGTAAAAATGAGGACGTTATATATTTACATGTATATGTATATTTTGTGTATATGTATACACACACATAAATATGATGTTCCTTGAAGTTTAAACTCTTGGGGCATCAGAGAAAATTAAACACTGGGTCTAAGAGACAGAGACGGTACAATGATGCACCAGATACGAACAGATGAGCAGATAGCTTGAATCACATAACAAATCAACTCAGATAGGTACTGGATGTTCACCTTTGACAAAGTAAAATGTCCTCCGTAGCGTGCAGAATTTGATACACCTGATAAAATAAAACCCACCAGGTGCACTAAGCCCCTGCTAAATTCATCATAACAGAAGAAAGAGAAGCAAGAACACAACATGAGTTGTCTTTGCCAATAAAACGTTCACCTAATTCCACTCAGCACTGAAAGGTGCTCAGCAGTTGCAAGTGCCTTTCTGCTGGCTGCCACTGGCTGCTAATTTCATATTTACTTTATTTTAGAGACCCTGTGCACACAGCAGTGCAAAGCCACGGAGCACACCTGGATAAAAATTTGGCAGGGAACAGGATGAGGAACAGCAGGCTGCAATTCTAAAATAGCTGTCAAGAAAAAAAGAAGTATCAGCACTGAAATGAATTAGTCTGAAACTGTGAAGTTTAAGCAGCTCCTGAGGCTACAGATATTTTAAACCCACAGACTTCTCTGGTTAGGCTATATAAACCCTGCTTTACAATCCATAGTGGATGTGGTTTGAATCGTGGCAGCGCAAGGCGGAGAGAAGGAGCCAAAAGTACATAAAAGGTTCCTGGATAATTTGCCAGCACTTACTATAGCAATGAGTCATATGTGTTGGTTTCCCACAGGGAAAAATCTAAGAATGCTGTAGAAATGGGGCAGATCCAAGCCTTTCAATACATAACTCTGATTATGTTTTTAAGGTTAACACAATCCTAAATATCCCATTTTACACTTTTTATTTTCTCAAGTAAAAAATTGTATTAACATTTCATTTACTTATAAACCACTGACACCATAACAAACCTTTAGCTGAACAGGATTTTCACATTTCTTACTCTGCAAGCCACAGCTAATGAAACTGGCCCTCCAATTTACCACACAGGACTCAGATCCTCTGAGTCCAAGCGCAGGTGCTTTTACATCTTTGTTAACAATGAAGATTCTTCCCCTGACCCCAAACTGAACTAGTAAAATTTTGTTATTTGGAGGACTGTGGTTTACCTAAATTATTGATATTATACTTAAAAAAAATACATTTACAAAACCTTTCCTAGGGATCCATAACCACCTATTTGTAAACTCGGCATAGAATCAGCACAGTAAGATCCTAGTGGTAATAAAGCAAGTCACAAGGAGAGAAACAGTCTTTTTTAAAATATCTCATTTCTTAAGTATTTCACTAGTTTACTCAAACCTAAACTTGCCTTTGGCTCAGACTGACCACGAGAAACCTCAGCCTAAAATAGATTATGTGAAGGTTAGAAGGGGTGAAAAACATATCTTGAATAGCATGGTTCTTGCAACCTCTGTGCTGAGCATAATACATCACAGGTGTAGCACCAATTAGCTGGCTTGGATGAAAACAACTCTAGCATTCTCCAGGAAGAGAATGAGAAAACTCAGTGCAGAAATCCAGTTAGCTGCCAAAAATCAGAAGATAGATAAACCAAGGAATTTTATAATGTTGGTAGATTTGAAAGGAAACATCTTCTCAGTCATCACTTGACTTATAAATTTTATGCACACTGTATTTTTCCCCCATAACTGCATTCTGTCAGTATGCTGCAAAGGCAGTCTAGCTCAAAACATCATTGTGAGATGTATGCATTATATTTGCAAAATTCTGTAACAGGAAGTAGCTGCAGAGTTAGGTAAAGTGGTTTCTTCCTCAGCAGACAAGGAAACAAAAACCAGCATTCCTAATCCCAACCCACAGCCTGATGGTGACTCTATATTGGCAACTAGTTATTTGGACAGACTGATTAGGAAGTTATTTTTCTTCTCCATAAAGGAAGTTGCTGCCATTTTCTTCCCCCTTCACCATGACAGAGGCAACACAACTTGGCAGTGCATGCATTTCTGAAGTTCCACAGTTCAAAGTTCAGAGCATTAGCCTAAAGTGCTAATAATTTCAGTTTACGTGCATAGGATACTCTATGGGGTCTTAAGTCAGACACACACTGTCACACTGCCAAGATGAAAGCAACAGTCTTCAGCAGAGTAGCAGGGCAATGTCAGTCCCTAATTTGAAGATACTGTCATTTACAGAACCCCTCCTCTTCCCCTGTATTTACAAGGGAAAAGCAGTGACTGATAACCAGCTGACAAAACGCACAAAATCAGGCAACCAAATACTACCTTGCTGAAGGAATTAGGTTGAGAGCTCCATGAAGAACATAATCAAACTCAGCATGTTTCTCAGCAACAAGTGCCACCAACCCCTCGGAGCAGGCTGTTCGCAAGGCAACATTCTCACTGCAGCACTTCTCCCAAAGCAAGTTCAGAGCAGGAGTCTGAAATCAAAAGCATGAGACACGATAGTGATGTAAAAGACTTTCTTACTCAAGTCATGGTCTCACCATATGACACTTGCAGTAACGTAAATAAACTCAAATAAAACTCTCTTAAACTGAGCATAGCTAGATGTTGGTATTCTGCAGAATTACGACGTCTGCCTAAGACTTCTGATGGAAGTAAAAGTGCTCTTCTGATCCCAGAGATTTAACATTTCTAACTGTACGCCCAGACACACATTGCTAACCACCTTACTTAACTACCAGGATTTATTAAAATTACATGGGAATTGTGGGAAACCACAGAAAACCATAAGCATATATGGATGGGAGAGGAGACAGAAGTGAAAGAATGACACAGACCTGGTCAGACGCCTGTCTGATCTTCTCCGAAGAAATATTTTCTTTCAGTACTGCAGCAATCAGATGACCCACTGCCTAGAAGAGAAAAAGAAATAAAAAACACATGCAGATCAAGTGTTATTTTTCACTTCTCCATTACGAAGAATTTACATTGCTGTTGCATGTGATCATTTTATCATGGTTTGAAATACCAGACTTACTAGTATGGAAGCTGAAATATGTTTTAGTGACAAAAATCTCCATAATGCTGGCATACTATTTTTTACTTTTATCCTGAGACAGAAGAGAAACAAACTTTCATAGGACTCCTCCCATAGATCCAAGGGTCTCTTTGTACAGAACCTCTTACAAGATTAGAAACAGGTACATACTCAGGAACTGCAGACATTTCAATGCATCAACTGTAACAGACATTTACAGCTCCACAGCTGTACAGAATTCAGTGTATTTAACAGCACTGATAATTAATCCCTTTACTATACAGGGCAGTGGAAGCAAGAGAAGCAGTAGAGCACAGCAAGTCTAAGCAACTTGCCCAAATTTTTGCATCGCAAGATTTACTACACACTGATGACAAAGATACTAGAACAGCTTAAGCCGTTTACATATCCCCTAGCATATCTACTGCCAGAAATGTTTCATTTACTTTAAACAAGGCATTTGAAGTTAACAGTATTCCTCATAAAGCTATTCTATGGCAGAGACCATGAAGAAGATTTAAATTTTCAAGGTCCTCCAAAAAAAATGCTTCATTTCTAAAGAATCAGGGCTCCAGTTCTAAAGAACAGCATACATTTACTCATTTGAGGTTTAACATTAAGCACCTCATTATATTTTAATAGAAGGGATGTCTGATTTCCTCAAACGGCCTTTAAAAATCTAAATGAGGACTGAAATAATGAAATCACCAATGCACTTAGCAAGTGAATCTATTATTTTTACTTTTTCTTTTCTTTATAAGGAACTTCAGAAATGAATTCACACCCATATCCTTAAAACACTTTCATTAGACTGGAAAAGGGGCTTATCAATAGAAAGCGGCTTTTGCAGTGAGCTATACAGGAAAGTAAAAAATGTGGATTAGCCCACTGCATTCCAAGAACTTAATTCACCAGTAAAACTTTTTTGATCTACAAAACAACGCTCAAGTTCCTCACTTCGCCGATACTTGACTGTGTAGGTTACATGGTCTGCAAAGCAGATGTCTTGGCTGGTCCCAGAAAGAGAAGACATCCATCACGAGGTCGAATCCTGGCCTGATGATGGTTTGAAGATTACAGCATGCGTTTCAGGGGTCACAGAATTTAAGTGGAAACCAGCAAAACAACCAAAGCACAGCTCAAAAATCAACCAAAGCACACCAGTAGCCACTAACAATGTGCAGCTGTAGTAATGAGCCAAGACACTTCAGCAAAAGTTGTACCCTGGGAACATTCTTCTGCACTGAAGAAAGACCAACTGGTTCAAAGATGCCGAGACCTACTCTGCGGTACAAGACACTGCTAGACCTTAGATGAACTCTAGCTTTCAGGGACATGATTTCCTCTCTTAAATGCCAAGTTGATCACAAGGAGACTTCTGTGTCTCTCTTTCAAACTTAATTATTATAAACCAATGAAGACTGAGCTGAGCTGAAAAGACAACAGAAACATCAGGTTGCACAGACTGCATTCACATCAATTTATTCCATCAAACAAATGGCTACATATTAATCCTGAATACAGAACAGAAGAGGAAGAAAGCAGGGAAGTTAGTAAAGATGTTACAGTTGAAGAGATACATTTTTAATACTGAAATAAGAGATGGCCAAAGCAAGGAAGGTGTATTTTTTTTTTTTTAAACAGCTTATTACTTTCTTCCTTCCTGTCCATTAAAAATACTATGATAAACACTTCATGCACGTGAGAATGTTTCAGGTGAACATGATCAGGTGCCAATGCATGGATCTGAAAATAAAGGGGTTTCATCTGCTGATCACAGTGGAGCTGTATACAGTTATTCTTTGATGACAGAGAAGACTGCAGTAGCTCCTCAACTCTAATCACACAGGAAGAAAACAGATCAGTCCTAAAGACAGTGCTATAAAGTATTGCCAAGTATTTTGAGCCCACACACGACATCTGGTAACTCCTGGCTTGTCTCGAGATCACAGGGTCACTAAAAACCATTTGGCCCTACTTAAAAAACTTTCCAGTCCTAGGAAGTTTCTGATTTTCATGCAGAGACTTTACAGTGATAAGCAATTATGTCCAATGTTTGGGTTACACAGAATGGGCAATTAGCATTTGTTTGCAACTTAAGAATACCCTACTTGGAAGGTTTTCTGCAGTTTGGAGAGGCAAGAAAAAAAATAAAAAATAGCCTTCCTTATCACCTTTTTATAGTCAGGCAGCAGGCCTCGGAACAAAGGTTTCCACAGACCATTCAATTTCTTTAATGCTTTTAAAAAATTTACCTGTGACTGAATAACTGCATTAGGAAATTCAAGACGCTTCTTAACGTCATCCAACATTTTGGCTCTGTCATATGACACTGCAAGAGAGATTAAAAACATACACTTAGGACTAGGAAAGAAAGCATGCTATTTGCCAGAAAAAAATACTCAAGATTTATGTTGTATTTAACAGCAGATGTAAGCATTAAAGCATTTTCTTCCCCCTAAGTCTACCATATCACCTTGCTTTATGGGCTTAAACCCAAGAACTGCTGAATACTCATTGGTCTTGCACAAAGAATGGGTGATCAACATTTCTTAGAGCTGGAGTTAATACACTGTTCCATATGCCACAGCATATGTGTAGTCTGAAAGCATTTTAAGTATATCTCACTGGTGTGAAAATGGGACAGCTCAAGAGGAGCATTCAGAGTTTCTAAAACATTATTTAAAATGCAAGATTCTCCACAAATTTTTCAATTATTTAATGCAAAAACAGAAGTAAAACAAACAAAAGACCCACCTGTGAGACTGTAAGTGGTAATGGTAGTTAGGGGATGGAATACTTGACAAAAAAAAACCTTCTCTGTAAGGTGGAAGATGCAGGCATCCACCTAAATTGGAGAGAAATCAGAACACAGCTTACCTTGTTGCACTCCAGTGAAACTGATGGCCAACAGCAAATATTCAAACATTTCAGTTTACTGTAAACACACCTCCAGTCACATGGAATGGCTTACTTATGAAATTTAAAAAAAACTAGCACTTGCTGAAAACCTAAGTGTAATCCTTAGCAATAAGCACTGAGAAAACGTATACATGCCCAGTACTCCAACTTCAAGACATGTTATCAGTATGATGCCTTCAGAATCTTGCCACTTACTTTCAAAAAGATGGAATTAAACCTGGCAAACATGCAAATGCAGAACGTGCCACAAATAATTCAATTCACAGCAGGAAAACTTAAAATAAATAGTTACCACCTCAATGAATATAAATTCCTGGCAGTTAAACAGTAAAATATTCCCATATAGTTATGAGTAACATTTCTGAAAATTTATGAGAAAAAAACCAACACTGTTAACTGCACTCAGAATGCTGCCAGTATGGGCTTATATTGTTTTAGAAAAGATTTAATTGCATTTTGAGACAATAGGTGTCCATATAATAAATGAACACACATTAAACTAGTTTACCTCTTGCTTTTTTTAAAAAAGAAATATGATTGCTACAACAAACAATTCCAGACATACCCAGATCTGTTGAGCATGTCTAATAACTCCAGTGGATCTAGATGCATCCAACCTATTAGTATATACCAACAGAGTCACAAAAAACAAACCTCTCTAGTTCCACCCAACAAGCAGCAAAATCACACGTTTGCTTCCTGCGTAGTTTTGACACAAACACACTGGAGTTATATGCTATCTGCCATCAGATAATTTTTATTATTCCTATTAAAAGGAGAAACTACAGTAGAGAATAATTAGTACAGTACATACTTTCAACGAAAGCACAGATCACAGATCAGCTATTCTAGGCAGACTACAAGTCTATTGCCCCCCACCATCAGAAACAATTCCTCAATTTCAGTCAACCTACACTAAACTTCTACAAGATAATTACTATACAACAGCTATATCAATGCAATTTAATGAATTTAAATGCCATCTAAAGTGTCTTCAGCATTCACCCTCAGCAAAGGCACTTGCATGTACATAAGGAATGTCTGGAAATTTAACAGGATCACTGAATAATTAAGGCTGGCAGAGACCCAAAGATGCCTCTAGTTCAACCTCCTGTTCCAACGAAGTTCAGCCATGGTGTCAGACCAGGTTGCTCAAGGCTTTGTCCAATCAGGGCTTGAAAACCCCCAAGAACAGAGAATGCACCACCTTCCTAAACTGTCCTGCTTGAGAAAAGCTTTCTCTTCATCGCTAGCCCAAGCTTTTTTGCCACAGACTGCTGTGAAGAGCCAGGCTGTGTCTTCATCTCCACCCCCACCATGGGTACTAAGGCTGCTGTTTGGTATCCCTGAAGTTGTCCCTCCTCCCAGGTGAACCAGCCCCAGTCCCACAGCCTCTCCTCACAGAGCAAGGGCTCCAGCCCCACTGTCTCAATGGTCTCTCCTGAATTCATTCCCGCTGGTCAGTGTCTCTCCCACTCTAGGGGATCCAAAACTGGACATGTCAATATGAGGTCTAAGAGTGCTGAACAGAAGGGCATAAAACCCACCCTAACCTGGCTCCCCAGGCTGTGCCACGCTCACACGGCTTTGGGCAATGCCTGCCAGGGCCATGGCCATCTCTGTAGAACTGCTCCCCAGCCAGCCCATCCCCAACCTGCACTGTAAGGGCTGGGGCAAGAGAGCGCTTTTATCACTGTTGAAACTCCTGAGGTTCCCACCAGCCTGTTCCTCTCGTTTATCCAGAAAGCAGCACTGCCAGTGGGCAAACCTCCTACCCTTCACACAAGAACACCACATGCGACAGTGTTGAAAGCCTTGCTCAAGTTGAGGTGACACCTCCTCTCCCCTTGTCTACAAATCCAGTCATTTTATCCTTTAGTAAAGGTAATCAGGCAAGTCAGGCAAAATTTTTCCTTGGTAAACCCATACCCCTGTTTACTCTTTCCAATAAGAATCACCGAATCAAGAGTTTAGGGTGGAACAAATATCTCCACAGGTCATCTAGTCCAATCCCCTCATCAAAATTGGTCTGATTAGATCTCTTTGCTCTATGCCAAGTCCAGTCAAGTCCTGAAAACCTCCAAGGATGGAGTGTCCCTGGATAAGCTGTTACAATATTCAACAACCCTCATGGTAAAAAAACCCCAACTTTTTCCTAATGGGACTTTTGATTTATATTTATTTTTTTTATTTGTATATAGCCAGTTTGTACCTATTGCCTCTCATCCTATTGCTATGCACTTCTGAGAACAGTCTGGTTCCATCTTCTCTGCATCCTTCCCCCAGGTAGTTGTAATCAGCAATAATATTTCTCCTTTGCCTTCCCCTCTCCAAGCTGAACAGACGCAGCTCTCTTAGCCTCCCTTTGTGCGTTTTGTGCTCCAGACCCCTGACCACCTTCATGGCCCCTACTGGACCTGCACCAGTGTCCTTCTTGTACTGGGGAGCCCAAATTCTGGGTGTAGTACTCCAGACGCTGTCTCACAAGTACCACACCAGGGGAAACAAACATGGCCACAGATGTCACATTCTTACTAATACAGCCCATAATGCAGCTGACCTTTCTTGCTGCCACACTGCACTGCTGGCTCAACATTCATCTTGGGGTCTACTAGGATCTCCCCATCAGGGCCTTTTCTGTAGAGTTGCCTCCGACATAGCCAGCCCCTGCCTGTACTGGTGCGTGGAATTATGTCACTCCAGAGGCAAGACCTTGTACTGCTCCATACTAAGTTGCAAGAGGTGCCCATCAGTTCATTTCTCCAGACTGTCCAGGTCCACCTGAAGAGCATCCTATTTACCAGCGCTTTGAACGCTCTCTGCAATTTGGCATCAGCCACAAATTGGCTGAGTACACTCCATCTCATAATCCAAGCCATTAATGAAGGCACTATGCAGTGTTGGGCCCACTACTGATGCCTGTGGGACACCATGACTTGCCATTCTGATAGACTTTACACCATTGAACACCACCCTTTGAGTCCAACCATCCGGTCCATTTTCCGCCGACTACACTGTCCACTTACCCAGGCCACATTTCACCAATTTGGTGACAGGGAGACAATAGAAGATTGTTTCAAAGGTCTTGGTAAAGTATACAACATCCACTGCCCTCCTCCCGCTCACAGCACAAGTAACCTCATTATAGAAAGCAATGAGATTGATAAAGCAGACATGATTTGCCCTTGGTAATTCCACACCAACTGCGTGGTCACACCCGGTTCTTCTTGCATTTAAAAATGGCTTCTACACAGCTATGTTCTTCTACCTTCCCAGGGACTGATGTAATACTGACTGGCTTGTAGTCAATTGGATCCTCCTCCTCCTTCTCATGCGCCAAAATGTGCTCCAAGAGGATGCACTCCATAATCTTCCCACAGACAGAAGTGAGGTTGACATGCTTGTTATGCTCCACACTGACCTTTTTGCATGTTTCAAAAATGGGTCAACATTCACCTTTCTGCAGTCATCACAGATCTCCACAAATTCTTGAAGATTAACCAACAGCAACCTCACAAGGGCATCGGCCAGCTCTCTTACCATCACAAAAACATCCTACTTTTCTTTGTTCAACATTTTACTATTAATTTAACAGCAGAAGCTCCTCTTGTTGCTTTTGATATCCCTTGCAAGTTTAAATTCACACTGAGCTTTGGCTTTTCCAACACTACCTCTGTATGCTCACAGAGTGTTTCTAAACTACGCCTCTGCAGATTGCTCTTGCTTCTGCCTCCTGTATGCTGCCAATTTTGCACTGGAGCACACAGTTTAGTCTCCCAATACAACTAGTTAGTTTCCTGAGTATTGGGATGGTCATTTCTTGCACCTTGTGCTGTACTTATAGCTCTGCCAGCTATCCTAAACTCCCTCACCCTTCAAAGCTGTATCTCACAAGGTCCTACCAAAGCGTCCCCTGAATAAGTCAAAGTCTGCGCTCCTGAAGTTCTGGGTCTGTACTCTGCTACTGGCCTTCCTCATCCCACTCTTTCTGGGCTCTGGCCATTTACAACCAAAGGTACCACAGGGAAATAAAAACTCACTGTAGAAAGCGGGGAAAAAAAGTGCACCCTCAGTTGAACAGATCCTTGCATAGTTTCTGATCTGAACTTTAGAACTGGGAACCACCGGGCACATAGCTGCAAAGCTTAGATGCCAATGCAACTGCAAAACATTGCAAAAAAATGCAGGAATCCACAGCATCCATCTCTAATGGCTTTTTTTAAAGAGCAAATTAAAAACACATTGTATTAGAAACTTGACAAGCTAGAAATGCCATCACCCTTACCTACAAAAAGAACTTCAAGCATCACAATGCCATCATCATTCAACAAAGCACTTCTGCCTTTGGACAGGAGTCTGCCGCATGGGCATGGATTTGCCCACATGGTTA